TCCTAATCAGTGAGGGAGCCAGCAGGGAGTTGATAACACAGCATTTAGCACCCCATCAAGAAAACAAAAGCCTTTCTCATTAGTTCAAGCTCTTCTTAAACAGCTTTTCTCAAGAAAGGAATGGAGGGACATTACCAGCTACCTGTTGATTAGGTCCAAAAAGCCCTAAGCAGGCACTGTCATGTCTGCCTTACACAGATCTCTCTCAGCATTAGCTAACATGCCACATACTGGCTATGGTCCCTGTTGTGGGAGAGGGGGGTAGGGAATCTTTGCTTGAGCAGAAGGGAGGGCAGGAGGAAACCAGGCAGATACTGCTGTACCTTCAGTCTCTGCTGGAGCTCTGGCCAGGGAGCAGAGGGGTGGGGCCAGCTCTGCTGTGGAGCAGAGATCCCTGCCCAAGGCTGCAAAGCATCTGGGATGCTGGGGGACTCAGGTTTAAGTTAAACCAGGACACACACTGCATAAACTGGTTTATCAGTATGATTGCCTCAAGAACTTTCACAGTATGGTGAGGTGACCCAAATTTGGCCTAAAACATAACATGACCCAGAGAATATATTACTAAAATATAATCCATGATGATATAACAGCAGGATGAGGACAAAGGCTTTCCACTGCAGGTTTTTAATGCTGGCGAACTCAAGTAACAGCAATTTTTGTCACTTAATAATGGATGATAATACTGTATTTATTTGCATTCTACATGCACCTTTCCCCCTGAATTAGTTAGTCCTCCAAAATTGTGGTGCATGTCTTAAGTGAGAGAAGGTAATTTTCTGCCTGGAATGGAAGCGCAGAGATGCTGTAAGGTATCTGCTGCTTCTTTTCCTTCTGTTCTCTCCAGCAGCTGAATGAAGGGAGGGACAAAGTCCAGTCTTCAGTAGCAGCTACCGTTTTTATCCTTTCACAGTGGATTGGAGCAGGAACAGAGCCTAAACCTCACCTCATTTACCTTCTCTTTCCTGCTCAGGCAAAAGCAGTCAATTCATCTGTGAAAGGGTTAGAACTGTAGCTTTTGCCTGGGCAGAAAAGAGAAGGTGA